AGGGTTAGGAAATTAATATGGACTTTTAAAACATTACAACACGTTGCCTCAAAGAACCTTTTGCAGAAAGTCTATGTATCATTAGCCCAATCTATCCTTACATACTATCTGCCATGCTGGGGTGGCACAACAAAAATTAAATTTTTAGAACTTGAGAGGGCGCAGCGATCTCTGCTTAAGGTTATGCTTTGTAAACCCTATAGATTTTCAACCAAAAGCCTTTACTTAACCTCTAACCTACTCTCTGTAAGAAAACTTTACCTACTCGACCTTATTCTGAGTAAACATAAATCCCTCCCGTATGACCCCAAAAAACCGATTATGAGTAGCAGAAGAAGCTACTTGGTCGCTCCAACTGTCCCAGTTAGATCTGTTTTTGCCAAGCGGCAGTATGCAAGGCAATCTTCCCACTAATACAACCTATTGAATAAAGAGCTAAACATCTATCCTTTAAAACTCCGTGACTGTAAATTATTTATGACTGATTGGCTTAAGACTAAAACCTACGATTACATTGAGGCTGTGGTATCATCGTTACCATAATCTGTCTAGTAACCAACAGGACCACAGCAACGAAATCATTAGTGAAGGAAGCTTTGCCTGGCTTCTTCCGATCCCAAGACATTGTCGTAGGGCTAACCTAAACCTAAACTTAAACCCAAAACTCATATCTACACGCAAAATTTAAATTTTAAGCAATACACAAAATTCATGCATTTTTATGCATTCTTTTCTTTCCATTTTCGAAACTAGTTATTGTTAACAATAAATAAATAATAAAAATGTATTAAATATAATAAAAATAAATTAGAATTGACCACTGTCATAAACAATAAGTGCCGTGTAGTGGCGGTTAAGAATATTCACTACCCCATATCTTCCCGTGGGTGTCGTAAAAGGCGACAAAGGGAAACAGGTAGAAGATGGGCAGCAGCATCTTCCTGATAACAGCAAAAATACAATGAAAAAACTGCGGTTGCCAACCCGCTCGCCAAGCGTGGCAACTATGGCAATACCCCCCAAATGGATAAAGTTACTAAGAGACGGCCCCCAGTTTCCGGCGGCCCTGCTATTACTGGCTACGGTGGCGACCATGGTAACGCCAGGGCAGGGGGTGCGAAGAATCTCCGGTGGAGGTTCGGTTACCACCTATGACGACTCAAACTGGCAACTTATAACGCACGCACCCTGAGGACTGACGAGATGATCCTGGAGCTGAAGGAAGAGATAGACAAGTTGCGTTGGAATATCATAGGACTGTCCGAAGAGAGTGGGAGAACACAGTAATCATCGAATCCGGCAAATTGTTCTATCACCGGGAAGGCGACCATTTGTCCCAAGGAGGTGTCGGATTTATAGTCCACAAGTCTCTCGTTAACAACGTTGTAAAGATTGAGAGTGTGTCGACGAGGGTTGCGTACCATATACTCAGAATCACTAAACGGTATTCGCTGAAGGCCATACAAGTTTACGCACCAACCTCGGCATAACCCGATAAGGAGGTAAAAGAAATGTATGAGGATATCTCTAGAGCCATGCATTCCTCCAAAACCCAATATACGGTGTTAATGGGAGACTTCAATGCAAAACTAGCCACAATAGAGAATGGTGAGCTGAAAGTAGGAAAATTTGGAACAGGACAACGGAACCCAAGGGGCCAGCAGCTGGTCGACTTCATGGAGAAAGAGGGATTCTTTATGAAGAACTCTTTCTTCTAGAAGCGGCCCCACAGGAAGTGGACCTGGTCGAGCCCTGACGGTTCGACAAAAAATGAGATTGACTTCATTATGACGACCAGACGACAACTATTCAGTGATGCCTCAGTGATCGCGAGGGTGAAAACCGGCAGCGATCACCGAATGGTTAGAGGCACACTGAACCTAAACATTAAGTTGGAGAGGTCTCGTCTAATGAAGTTAACGCTCAGTCCCCCTCGTGCTCTAATCCAAAGTCCCAAAACCTTTCAGCTCGAGTTACAAAACCGTTTTCAGTGCCTAGAAGACTGCAATGAAGTGGACGATATGAATGACAAGCTCGTGGAAACTGTCCATGCGTTCGGAGCTAAGTTCTGCAAGACCAGCCGCAGAAGAACACAAAAACTCTCCGATCACACTCTTAATCTCATGGTTCTTAGACGGGAGATAAAGTTACATTCTTCAACAGATTTGACAGCATACAGGCAACTAAACAGACATATCTCCAAATGCATGCGGTGGGACTTACGTAACTTCAATACAGCTCGTATTGAAGAAGCGATCGAGTGGAACCAAGGCTTCAAAGTCTTTGCCAGAGATCTATCTGCCAGAAAGAGCCAACTGTCAAAGCTGAAGAGAGAATGTGGCAGCGTCGTTTCCGGGGCACCTGAGATTTTGAGTGAGATTGAGAGGTTCTATGGGCAGCTGTACACGTCATCGTTGGAGCCACACGCAAGCGTGAGTAACGATCCAAGAGCGAGTCTTATACGACATTATTCCGATAATATCCCGGACGTCAGTCTGAGCGAGATTAGAATGGTTCTCCAGCACCTTAAAAACGGCAAGGCCCCAGGCGAGAATGGAATTACAGCGGAGCTACTGAAAGCGGGTGATAAACCGGTACTTGATGTCCTTCAGAAACTCTTTAATTCCGTCCTACATGGTGGCATTACACCGGAGGCGTGGAGCAGAAGTGCGGTGGTCCCGTTCTTCAAGAAAGGCGACAACGCTCTCTTGAAGAACTACAGACCGATTTCCCTTCTGAGCCGCGTCTACGTGCTGTTTTCGAGAGTCATTACGATTCGTCTCGCGCGCAGACTTGACGACTTCCAGCCTCCCGAACAAGCCGGTTTCCAAAAAAGGCTTTAGCACCATAGACCACATACATACCCTTCGGCAAATTGTACAGAAGTCAGAGGAGTACGATTTGCCACTATGTCTGGCGTACGTTGACTATGAGAAAGCCTTTGATTCGGTCAAAATTTGGGCGGAGCTGCAGTCCCTTCAGCGGTGCCAAGTTGACTGTCGGTATATCGAAGTGTTGAAGTGCTTGTACAGTAGGGCTACAATGGCTATCCGAGTACAGAACAAGAGTAAGAAACCTATCCAATTGCAGAGAGGTGTAAGACAGGGTGACGTCATATCCCCGAAACTCTTCACCGCTGCATTGGAAGACGTTTTCAAGCTTCTGCACTGGAAAGGATACGGTATCAATATCAATGGCGAGTACATCACTCACTTTCGATTTGCCGACGATATAGTCCTTATGGCAGAATCGCTGGAGGACCTAAAAACTATGCTCAATGACCTCAATAGTGCTTCCCAACGGATAGTTCTTAAGATGAACATGGACAAGATCATGTTTAATGTCCATGTCACACCTATGCCGGTAGTTGTTGGGAGCACTAAGCTCGAAGTTGTTGACGAGTATGTTTACCTGGGACAAATAGTCCGACTAAGTAAGTCTAAATTTGACCGAGAGGTCAATCGACGGATTCAACTCGGTTGGGCAGCTTTCGGGAAATTACGGCACATCTCGTCAGGTATTCCTCAAAACTTGAAAACGAGACTGTACAACCAGTGCGTGTTGCCAGTGATGACATACGGAACTGAGACGTGGTCCTTCACTGCTGGCCGGATGAGGAAGCTCAAGGTCGCTCATCGAGCTATGGAAAGGGCTATGCTCGGAGTTTCTCTGCGTGATAAACTCAGAAATGAGGATATCCGCATTAGAACCGGAGTGACCGACATAGCCCAACGGATTAGTAAGCTGAAGTGGCAATGGGCCGGCCATATAGCTCGAAGAACCGACAACCGATGGGGAAAAAAGGTTCTCAAGTGGCAGCCTCGTACCGGCAGGCGAAGTGTTGGGCGTCCACCCACTAGATGGACTGACGAACTGGTAAGATATGCAGGAAGTCGATGGATGCAGGTGTCTCGGGACCGTGCTTTGTGACATTCCTTGGGGGAGGCCTATGTTCAGCAGTCGACTTGTGAAGGGCTGTAATGATGATGATGATGATAAACAATAAAACTTTTTAGCAATGCTTTCTGCGTAAACCATAGCTATCTGTAACTGTTACATCAAACAAGTATTTTACAATTAAATGCGCCGAAGATTGATATAGCTAAAATAAAATGAAACTTTAAGTCTAACTTCAGTTATAACATTGAACACAAAGCGATTTCTTGGTTGACATTAGTACTCACTAGGATTTTTTAAACATTCATATTTTATTATAGTCGCAGTGATCACGTTTGAGTCAAATTGGTATTTTACCTAATCAACTAGATAGTGCACTGAATGAAAATTAGCCGAACTTAGTCAATTTGCTTTCAATCCCTTAAGAATAAATGTATAAGGCGATTTAGCAATATATTAAAATAAGTGAAACGGTAAAGCAAACCTGAAATGACATATAAAGAAAATTATTTTATAAATGATTTTATCTTTATTACCAACCGACTTCGAAAAGAAAGAGGTTCTCAATTTGTCGGAAACTTTTTTTACACTTTTCAGGTGGCCCCATTTAATTTTTATCGAAATCGGTCGAGCGGTTTAAAAAAAATAACAATAAATTATATTTGATCTTGTTCTTTATCAATACTCGGTAGACCACTGCTAACTAAGGGCTACTGACATCAAATAGATATTTTCCTATAATCGTAAGGATAAGCAGAACGGCTATATTACCATCTATCCAGTATTATGAAGTTCGGCATTCCTTGTAACCACCTCTTGCTATACCCATGGTACTATATGACTTTATCATCATCATCATCATCATCATCATAATCATCATTACAGCCCTTTACAATCCCACTGCTGAACCCACAAATAATGCCACAAAGCACGGTCCTGAGCCACCTGCATCCATCGTCTTCTTGCATATCTCACCACGTCGTCACTCCATCTAGTGGGGAGACACCCTACACTTCCTCCGCCTGTACGAGGCCGCCACTCGAAAATCTTTTTCCCCCATCGGTTGTCGGTTTTTCGAGATATATGGCTGGCCCATTGCAGCTTCAACTTACTAATTCGTTAATGCCGAACAGTTGACGTCTTGTCGTCATAATGAAGTCAATCTCATTTTTTGTTAAACCGTCGGGGCTCGACCAGGTCCACTCCCTGTGGGACCGCTTCTGGAAGAAAGAGTTCATCATAAAGAGTCCCTCTTTCTCCATGAAGTCGGCCAGCTGCTGGCCCCTTGGGTTCCGTTGACCTATTCCGAATTTCCCTACTTTCAGCTCACCGTTCCTTCTTGTACCTAGTTTTGCGTTGAAATCTTCCATTAACACCGTATAGTGAGTTTTGGAGGAACGCGCAACTCTCGTCGACACACTCTCAATCTTTACAACGTTGTTAACGAGAGACTTGTGGACTATAAATCCGACACCTCCTTGGGACAGATGGTCGCCTTCCCGGTGATAGAACAAGTTGCCGGATTCGAGGATTACCGTGTCCTCCCCCTCTCTTCGGACAATCCTATGATATTCCAACGCAACTTGTCTATCTCTTCTTCCAGCTCCAGGATCATCTCGTCAGTCCTCAGGGTGCGTGCGTTATAAGTTGCCAGTTTCAGTCGTCGTAGGTGGCAACCGAACCTCCACCGGAGATTCTTAGCACCGCCTGCCCCGCCGTTTCCATGGTCGCCACCGTAGCGAGGAATAGCCGCCGGGGACTCGGGGCCGTCTCTTCGTTACTTTCATGGCGTCCGCGTCGACTGAGGCGGCCCGAGTTGAATCGAATCGCATCGACGAAGAAATTTGCCTGTCAAGCAATTCCCGCGGTTGATTCCATATGGCGCGCAGCGGCTCGTTGTTAATGGACGCAGTTTCATAGTAAATATATAGGAGGCGACTTTCTGCGATTCGATTCGACTCGGCTCGGCGAGCCTAGTGGACGCTTAGCCTTTGTGGCAGAAAAGTCGTGGATGCCCTCATTCACATTGAACGTAAAATAAACACCAAGGCTGTTATTGTAAAAATAATTTTGTTGTTTCTGACTATAATTCATTACATAAACAGTTCCTACAAAGTTTTAATAAAATGTTGTCACAGCTGCTTTATACTTACCTGAATATTGAATGAGCTTCCAGAAACTCATTATAGAGCTTACCCAAACTTCGTCGCATGTAAATCTATGAGGTAAACATTTCTTTATTATATTTACTGTAAAAACTCAACCGTGGTATAGGAATATCCACTACCCCATTTCGTCCTGTGTATAGGCGACAGAGGGAAACTTCAAAATGATAAATGGGCAGCGGCATCTTCTTAATTAAAACTCAAAATAAAAAATGACTGTAACTACCAACCCGTCTGCTAAGCTTATCAACTATGAAAAAAATCCCTGTTTAGGCCCAAACATGGTCATTTGAAAGGCCGTGGTCGCGTCCCGTATAACCTCGAATTAGTGTCGGTTTTTGTTAGAAAATTTATGCAACGATGAGGAGTTTGTTGAGTCTAGAAAAATAGACGCCGGGTCGATTAATTGGTTGGAATTTAATATTGATTGCGACCAACGTCCGGTTTTTTGATGCCTGTGGAATTTACTATTGGAGTTTTTCGCTTCTAGTTTTGGTTATCTTTAGTCACGTGATGACGAAGCAGTAATAATTTGATTGATTAACCTAAATTCGTTGGCAAGTAATTTACGTAAATGGTATAGTGATTGCCGGTTGAAGTGCTTGACAATATTATTTTGCGTCGATGAGTTGCTTTGTGGCATTGGATTTAAATCGGAGATATTTTCCTGTGTCGGTTTAAACGCTAAAATTTGTGATTCGCGAGAAACAATGTTCGTATTAGATTATAGATTTGTGCTAAGGAACGCTGAAATTTGTGACTCCAGAAGGGATCGCGTTCTTGCTCGTGGTTATAATCTTCTTGGTACGTGAAACGGAAGTGAACTTTGAACCACCGTTCATTAGTCGTGCCGTGTGTTATGTTTTTGATTACGATTAACGGGGATCCAGTTGAGGTTAAAGTTAATTAAATGTACAATAAAGTTGATGAATTGAAATAGTGTACAATAAAGTTGATAAACTGAAATAGTGAAGTGACGTCAGACTTGAGGTTGGATAAAGTGAACAACCACCTTTGGAGAGAAGCAACGCTGGATCTAACGGTTAGGTCAGGTCAAGCATTATACACACTACTATACACCACTTACATGCACCTACACCTACCTACGGCCTGACCGAGCCTTGGGGCGGTCTTAGCTTCTGAACCAGGTACCTACTATTTGGTTACCTAGCCTTATCTCTATTGTGTAGGTCAATTGTTCATAGGCATTTAGAGCCCCACCCTTAGTTGCCCGTCGATGGGATTACTCATGGGCCCTATTCCCGTCAAGCTTTGTCGGGGCAGCTAGGGGCGTGTAAATTCCTCCTATGAGGTAGTTTATGGTATAGGCCTATGTTCACCAGTGGTCTTTTATAGGTTGTAATGGATTTTCTGTAAAAACCATTGACAACATTCAAACATCAATGTCAGTAATTTATACTTTTCTTCGAGAATTGGAACCTCATATTGTAAACTTGTCAAAGTGACTTTGTTCCGTTCTGTATATAGATAAAAAATTATTTTTTATTAGGGAATGGTAAGATTGGTTTTTAGCTACTTTCTTAATGTGATGATATTATTTATGTAGTAAACGATTTTAATACACTTGATTTTTTTCACTACGCACAATAAACATAAACTTGCTAAAACTAGCGGATATGTTTTGGATAGATGTATACAAGATTCCCTGTGATATTACCGAATAATCTTTGCATAAATTCAAAGTAAGTGTAAAAAGCATTCTAATGAAAAAATAATACATCAAATGAATATCTATGAGATAAAAATGTTCGAACATAATTTAATTTCTTAGATTTTCTTGACTTGTGTAAAGATTCGATACATTAATTGAATATTTATGAAATAAGAATTTTCGGACATGATCCACTTTCTTAGATTTTCTTGATTTGTATATAATTTCTAACGAATGGAATAAAAATAATCCATTTGTGACTTTCTTGTCGCAACTTCTCACAGGGTCTCCCACGGAAGGGCCTTGTTCAAACAATGTAGTGACTCTTTTAACTTTAAGAATGAGGTAAAGACAGTTTTGAATAAAATTTTGTTCATATACCAGCTAGTCCCGGTTAGTTGCTGCCGCAGAAGTAATAATTGTGAAAATATCGTTTCAAATTTGGAAGAGTAATGTTGTTTAATTATGAATGAAATAATAATAAATTTGTCGATTGCCACCAATTCAAAGTTGATTGTATATGTACTATGCCTACTTTCGCGCAAGTGCCAGCAAGAAGTTGACAATGTTTTAGCAACTTATTGCTGAACACAATCTGATAAACGGTACGGTACATTGCGAAGTATATAATGACTTTTTATACGTGGTAGAGCCACGCTGAAGCTATATTGTATTTGCAGCACGATAAGTCGGCTCAAGCGAGGGAGAATACCATGATCTCACAGAATACCATCGTTAAATAGGAACTTAGTGCTGCTGTGTTTCATATGGTGAGTTAAGAGAACTAGAGACCGTTTTTACTGGATAAAATCCGTAAAATAATTTTTAATTTGTAGTATTCGTGTAAATGATAGAAAAAAAAACACAGTCGAAGATTGTTATTCTTTGAAGTTCGTCTTTGCAATCTATCTCTGGGTAAGTGCTCTTAAACTTTATGACTTAATTTGCAAGTCAGTAGCGGTAATATAATAACGTTATATTAACTCATATGGCTGGCAAAGACGCTAGTTCAGAAGTTCGTCAAATTACAAATAGTTCGGATAGATACTTGCACCATATCTTTTCGTAATTAAATATTTGATTTGGAGTGTGAAAGGTATAATATAAGATTTTATTAAATAATTTAAGGTAATGATGTAATGTAGCAAAAAGATTTCTTCTACATTATACTCAAATTTGAGATTTGCCTTTTAGAGTTAATTATATTTAACAATAATATATTTTTATTATCTATCTTTATTTGCAAAGGGAAAGTGAAACAGAAAGAAATGACGAAAGAAAATACAATTATTTACTCACAATTGACGTACAATACAAAAAAATATTAAAGCCTCTAAATGTTAAAAGTTAGAAAAAATTGGTTAACTGTTTAAAAATAAAATTAAAATATATTTGGTAAACTATAATTCTATTAATTATTATAAATAGAAACAATCTGCATCCAATAACCAAGAAATTAAAAAATATTATTAAAATACCACTATGAAACTCCCAAAATTTGATAGTGTGCGTCATATTCTGAAAACGCGGTACGCAACTCCGAAACTACACTGATATTGCGAACCCCCTTGACATTTCCAATGCCTATTGGACCCATGTAACAGGAGATGGGCATCAGAGTCTTCCTCAAAACAACTCAATAATCATAAAGAAAATGTGGTTATAAATTCGCCTGCCAGGAACTATGGCAAATAACCCCTCCATGAGGCAATCCATGGCGGAGGCTCATACTCAATAGTGGACTAGTGTGTAATGTGTGAATAGGCTGTAATGAATAAATGGGAAATGATAATGTGCAGGTTTGTTCACTACCTTATTTAAATAATATTGAAAGTAGTGACTTGATTTCGTTGCTATAGAAATTTTGTATATTCCACACTCACCATACAAAACACAGCAGCATTAAGCTGCTATTTTACGCTGGTATTCTGTGAGAGCGTGGTCCTTCCCCGGTCGAGCCGGCCCATTTGTGCTACAACTATACCGGTAATATAGCTGCAGCATGACTCTACCACGTCAAAATTATCTGTAGATCATGCAATTATTTATTCCGTGCGGGATTTGAACCTGCGACTCTTAGAGCTGCAACTAATTCCTAAGCCACTGCGCCACTGCGCCACGAAGCTGTTAATCACGAGTGCGTATTTTTTTCTGTCCAGGAGTCCATCTGGATAAGTATCACACTTTTGCTTCTTTCTACCGCCAACAAGCAGTATAAGTAATGCTGTGTCAGGGTATAAAGAGTCAGTTTAACAACAGATTGTGAAGAATTTTATCTGAATCCTCAAGGTTGGCAACGCATCTGTAGCCTTCCTTATTTGAAGTTGGCTGCATGTATTTGCATGTATACACATAGCTACAGTACCCATTTGCCATCATGTGGACTATAAGTTCGCTTGTTACTACTGTGTAAGAAAATACGTACATATTTTATTCCTTAGAATCACATCTACTTAGAAAAATAAGAACCATGGCAGTTTGAGGTGCTAAACGTCACGTTACTCAAGCAACCCAGCTTCGATGGCACCGTTAG